CAAAAGGAGACCGAGTACATGCGTTCGGAGGACCGCGCCGACGTCGCCGATGCATCACCGATGCTTCGGTGGTGTATCTGCGACGTCGGCGATGCGTCGGCGACGTCGGCGATGCATCACCGATGCTTCGGTGGTGTATCTGCGACGTCGGCGATGCGTCGGCGACGTCGGCGTAGAGAACATCAGGCTCCACACCGAGACGCACTGCCGATGCATCGGCGATGCGGCGCGATCCTCCGACCTCGTCTGGGAGGCCTACATCCTCGCTCCTGCGCAGTCTCCCCGCCCCCCAATCCCGAGGTGCGGCAAGAAGCAGCCCTGGCCCCCAAAACTTGGACGCCCGCAGTGGGTACGAAAACAGTAGGTACGATGCCCAACAAGAGATGCTGTCCACAACCAGCAGCGCCCGCTGTTGGGCAGGCGGCCTTCGGTGTCAACTAGAGAACGTCCGCGGCGACCCCGACAGCGAGTCCTGTTCAAAATGAACAGGGTATGCGGTCGGTCCTCGTACCCACTGGCGATGTGATTTTGTGTTCAGCCCGCAGCCCCAAGAGGTCCCGACCCCTTCCCCTGTGGCATTTTCGCCCTGGGCCCAGTTCTGATGTGAGGGGCAACGTTAGGGGGGAACAAGCTCCAGGGGGGGGACATCAAGCTTGCATCGGCGACACGTTGCTGATAGGCCCCCGATAGCGAACCCACGCGCTCCTGGGCGGGGCGGGCTATCGGGCTCCCATCGGCGATGAGTGGGCGATTGGGGGCCGATGCGTCCCCCCTTGAGCCTGGCCCCCCTCAGGTAAGGAGAGGCCTGAACGAGGACAACTCCGGGCAAGGATACATCGAGAATCTCTGCAAGCCGGCGGCTCTGGATGATGCCTCGGGCGCCGCGCCCTTCTCAGAGCGTTCTGGAACGCGAAGGCGTTCTGGAACGCTCTGGAACAGACTTACCCTCGTCCCAGCCCCGTCCGACTACAGTCGGGGCGTTGACCTGAGGAACCCTGAATAAGGAACGAGGCCCCTTGTTTTCCAGAAGTTAGACTTCGATTTCCCGTCGAAAGCCGGAGGAGAGCCTGGGGCCACCTGTGAAACAATCGAGGCACACCAAGCCCCTCCCCAACGAGAAGGGTTCCTTCTCCAGGGCCCCGACTGCACGCCAAACAGCGGGCTCCAGAGGCCAAACGACGAGGCAACACGCCGGGGACTGCCACACTCGCAGCGGACCCCCGACCCCTCGAGCGCTTCCCTGGGACCAACCTCTCATCCCGCGCCGTCCTTGCACGTCTCCGAGGGACATAGGCCCCGAGAGGCCGAAGACGACGGCACACCGCCGCCCCGACTCCTGCGAGATGCCGGAGCTCTGCGTGGACAATCCGGGTGGGGCCCGGCGCGCCTCTGGTGACTTCATCGCCGAGCCTCCGCCAGAGCAGGAGCCGAGGGTTCCAAGACAGAGGGGCCTGAGGGATGGGGTCCTGGGGACGGGGAGGGGTCCAAGGAGGGATGCACGCCGTGTGAGTGTGAGGCACATCGTCCTCAGGACTTGGGGGCGCGCAGATGGGGAGCAGGGGGAGGGGGGGAACGCTTCTCAGAAGGAGGCTGCTTCTCAGAAGGCGCCGGCCTCACATCCATAGATGAGGCCCGCGCCTTCTAGGAAACGGGGTGCTTCTAAGAAGCCTTCCTCCCTTCCCCGTACCCCCTCAGCGCGTGGCCGATTTACACTGTTTGGGTAACCTCGTCCGACCCCGCCCATTAGGGCCCCATATTGCGGCGGCGAGCCCAGAAAGAGCGGGCCTTCTCAGAAGGCTCGTGAGTCCCGCGGCCTCCTGAAAAGTAAAGTGTCCTAAGCCTTCCCCGAAGCCACAGACAGCTTCCCATGAGGCGCGAGGGCCTCTGAGGAGTCCCGCCGCCTTCTGAGAAGGCCGTCTCCTTCTAACTCCCCCCCCCCACCTCGCTCGCCGCGACATCTTTGAACCACCGAAGGATCTGCGCGGGCTTTCGCTCCGGCCGCTGCAGGCACTCTTCCGCCTCCTCCTCCTCCTCCGCCGCCTTCTTCTCCGCCTCCTGCTCCTCCTCCTCCTCCTGCTCCTCCTCCTCCTGCTCCTTGTCCTCCTCCTCCGCCTCCTCCTCCGCCTCCTCCTCCGCCTCCTCGTCCTTCTCCTCCGCCTCCTCCTCCGCCTCCTCCTCCGCCTCCTCCTCCTCCTCCGCCTCTTCCTCCTGCTCCTGCTCCGCCTCCTGCTCATCCTCCTCCTCCGCCTCCTCCTCCTCCTGCTTCGCCTCCTCCTCCGCCTCCTGTTCTCCTCCTCCTCCGCCTCCTCCTCCTCCTCCTGCTCCTCGTCCTCCTCCTCCGCCTCTCCTGCTCCTGCTCCTCCTCCGCCTCCTCCTCCTGCTTCTGCTCCTCCTCTCCTCCTCCGCCTTCTCCTCCGCCTCCGCCTCCTCCTCCTCCTCCTCCGTCTCCTCCTCCTCCTCCTCCTCCTCCTCCTCCTCCGCCTCCTCCTCCTCCTGCTCCTCCTCCTGCTGCTCCGCCTCCTCCTCCTCCTCCGTCTCCTCCTCTCCTCCTCCTCCTCCTCGCCTCCTCCTCCGCCTCCTGCTCCTCCTCCTCCTCCTCTTCCTCCGCCTCCTCCTCCTCCTCCTCCTGCTCCTCGTCCTCCTCCTCCGCCTCCTCCTCTTCCTCCTGCTCCTGCTCCTCCTCCTCCTCCGCCTCCTCCTCCTGCTCCTGCTCCTCCTTCTCCTCCTCCGCCTCCTCCTTCTCCCTCCGCATCCGCTTCCTCCTCCTCCGTCTCCTCCTCTCCTCCTCCTCCTCCTCCTCCTCCTTCACATCCACCTCCACCTCCTCCTCCTCCTCCTCCTCCTCATCCTCCTCCTCCTAGGCGGTTCCCCAGCGCGGCCCCGCGCAGCCGTCTTGCCCGCGGCGGGCGCGGCGCGCGGATGGGCCCGTGAGGACGGGAGCTCCCAGCCCTGACGGGCGAGGCGCCGCGATCGCAGGCCACCCCAGCGCCGAGTGCGCGAAGTGACCTGGAGACGTGGAAAGCATCATTCGGGGCGACCTGGATGGCGTGGACCGAGTGCGCCCAGCACGATGTGTACATGAGGCGCCCGTCCAAAGCCAGAAGGAGAGCCCGCAGAAGGCTAATGCTCCACGTGCGCTGGCAAGCCGCCCTGGATCTCGGACTGGTCGAGCTGGACTTCGGCACCTCCTGGCCAGCCTCGCCATTTGACTACGGATTCGTCGAAGGGTGGCTGCAGGAACCCGCGTGCGAGAAGTGGGAGACGAAGATCGAGCCCGATACGACCAGCTACAGTGCAGAGATCAGGGCGTGCGAGAGGACGACGGCGAGGACAGAGAACGAGACGTGGGATGCGAACAAGGACCCCACCATCCTCACCTACAGCGCTGGAAACAGCTGGCGCGAGGCACGGACGGCGACGACAGAGCCCGTCACGAGCCCCTGTGAGAAGCGGGAGGCGAAGACAGAGACCAATATGACCAGCTACAGCGAAGCGATCAGGGCGTGCGAGAAGGGAACGGCGATGGAGCCCGACGAGCCCCGACGAGCCCGACGGCGATGGAGCCCGACGAGCCGGTGAACAGTGAACGCGAGAAGTCGGAGGCGAAGCTGGAGCCCGACATGATCCTCTACAACACTGCGATCAGGGCAACAATGGCGGAGGCAAAGTTGGAGCCCAATAGCACTAGCGTGTTCCCCCCGTCACCTCTCGTCGCCACGGCTGGATCAGTGAAAACGGCATGTGACTCGGTTGCGGAGGCGAAGTCGGAGCCAAACGTGATCAGCTACAGCGCAGCGAGCGAGAGAGGAGCATGGGAGGCAAAGATAGGGCCCAACGTGAACAGCTACAGCGAAGCGATTGAGGCGTGCGAGGAGGGAACGGGGAAGTTGGATCCCGACATACACAGCCCTAGCCTTGTGAACGGTGAGCGCGAGAAGTCAGAGGCGAAGATGGAGCCCGACACGATCAGCTATAACGCCGCGATCAGGGCAACAGTGGCGGTGAAAAATCTGGAACCCACTATCTCTAACGTTTCCCCCTCGACTCCCCTCGTCGCCACGGCTGGATCCGAGAAAGCGGGGTGCGAGAAGCGGGAGGCGAAGTTGGAGCCAAACGTGATACACATCCCTAGCCTTGTGAACGGTGAGCGCGAGAAGTCAGAGGCGAAGATGGAGCCCGACACGATCAGATACAACGCCGCGATCGGGGCAACAGTGGCGGAGACAAATCTGGAGCCCAATATCACTAACGTTTCCCCCTCGACTCCCCTCGTCGCCACGGCTGGATCCGAGAAAACGAGGTGCGAGAAGCGGGAGGCGAATTTGGAGCCAGACATCGTCAGCTCCAGCGCGGGGACCAGTGCGTGCGACAGGAGATGGCGAAGCTGGAGCCCGAAGAGCCAAGCTGCACAAGCATGGCGATGTGGCGGGCGCGAGCCGAAATCCCCCGCAAGTGGCTGGGCCCGAGGGGCCCGAGCAGGTGGCAGCGCGAGCAGGAGGATGAGGCGAAGCTGAAGCCCGACGCCGTCAGCTACAACGAGGCAGTTCTCGCGGAGATCCGCGAGGAGGCCAGACGCGCAGCGAGAAGTGCGAGAGGTGGGAGGCGAAGACTGCGCCCGACGTCATCAGCTGCAGAGCTGGGGGCAGGGCGCGCGAGACTGGCGCGGACAAGCGCCGAGACGAGAGAGCCTGAGCGCGGACGCCCCCTACCCTGGACGGGAGCCCCTGGAGAATGGGGGCAGACCTGGGGGAGGGGCACGCGCCTCGGGAGCGCGGGGCGGCCAGCGCCGCGCAGCTCGCGGGGAGCGGGATACGCAATGGTCGACATACTCCTCCTCCTCCTCCTCCTCCTCCTCCTCCTCCTCCTCCTCCTCCTCCTCCTCCGCCTCCGCCTCCGCCTCCGCCTCCGCCTCCGCCTCCGCCTCCGCCTCCTCCTGCATTCGCTCCGCCAGCGGCGACGGTCGGCCCTGGCGAAGCGCGACCGTGGCCGAGGCGCCACCGTCACGGGCTGCGCCGCGCGGCAGGCCACGGGCCGGGCACACATGCGGCGGTGTGCTGCGCCGTGGGCTCCGTGGGCAGCCTTCTGGGTCGGTGCTTCAGGGATGGGGTCCTTCGGCGGTGGACGGACCTCCCTTCGGTACACATCCCCCTCGCCATCGCTCGGACGTCCATGCCTCGTGCATGTTTCGATGGCGTGTGTGTGTGTGTGTGCTTTTTCGCCAGATGATCAAGGATGGTCCTCGATGGCCGTCGCCGAGAAAAAATGCACACGTCCGAGCGATGCCAAACCCCTTAGTGAAACGGCCTGGGGCCGAAACCGACGGACCTGGATCTGCAAAAATGACGGCCGCGACGCCCTCTCGCGAACCGAAAACGGCCACTTCCGAATTCCTTAATCGACGTGTCAGGGTAGTAGGAGGTCTATCAACCTCCGAGTCCTGAGGGATGGGGTCCCAAGGTTAGGTCGGGCGTGTCCCCCGATCTACAGGCGGACTTAGGACGAACAAGTTAAAGCAGTCAACAAAGACTCAAAGATAATCAACAAAATCGTCCCAAGACTATGGTTGGACTGCTTTTGAATATTCTTCGCGTGGAGGGACATTCCCGACTTAATCCTAAGGGCGAGGTGCTTCAACCAACGAAAATCCAGCCTTGGATCCCTTCCTATCCTTTTGACCCCATCCCTCAGGAGCCCATCTTTGAGCCACCCATCCAGGTCGGTCCCGGGAAGGGGACCCGCACGTTTCCGGCGAAGAGCACGGGCTTGAAGCTGTCTGGGAACCCCTCGCTGGGCGCGACTTCATGGGGGGGGCGATCATGAAGGGGAACTGGGACACCCAAATAAATAGACACAAATAACAAGATCCCCCTTATATCTACCCATATTTTCTGGGTTTCTGTCTTCCCCCCCACTTCCCATATTCTCCCATATTTTTTAGGGAGTTGACAATGAATTGTGTCTGTGCTTTTTTCCGTCCTGAGATCATTGGGGGGCCTATCGAGGGCTGCAGAAAAGGGGCCCTTCAGGGCCCCTGAAGGGGCCATTCAGGGCCCCAGATGGAGCCTTCAAGGTCCTCCTCCTCCTCATCCTCCGCCTCCTCCTCTTCCTCCTCTCCTCCTCCTCCTCCTCCTCCTCCTCCTCCTCCCCCTCCTCCTCCTCCTCCTCCTCCTCCTCCTCCATCTGGGACCATCCAGGGCCCCTGATGGAGCCTCCAAGGTCCGAAAAAGGGCACCTTCCTTCTGCTCCCCCCACCCCCATGCATCGCCCCCCCTATGACTTCGCGCCCGACCTCGGACATCACAGGGTTGTTCCGGTACCGCGCGATGTTCGCGCTCAGACCCTGTGTCCGAGACCAGACGACGGAGCAGACCTTCGAGGATGGCTTGGGCCAGTCACAGAAGCCCTCGAATGCAAGAGTGAAGCGATCTGCCTCCTCTCTGCTGGAAAGGTCCACGAAGGCGTAGCCCAAGCCCACCCCAGTGTTGTAATCTCTGGGCAGGAACACGATATTGTAACATCCTGCGAACCCGTGCTTATCCATCGCGTCAATCAGGTCGTCGCGCAGAAGCGGGCACGGCAAATTGCGCATCATCACTGTGGTGTTCTGATCGTCAGTGGAACGGGAAGGCAGGGTGCCAGGAGCTGTGAAGCAACGATGAGCTCCAACGTGTTCGAAGGAACACAAGCCCTGGGTGCACATGTTCGACACCCGGGAAGAACACGGGACGAACAACGAGGCATTGCAACGCAAAGGAGTCCTCCCGCTCGACGTCTGATCGAGACCTGCTTCCGACGGAGCGGATGTCTTCTCTTCCGCGTCGGCAGACACGGAAGCAGAGTGGCTCCTAGACGCGCCAGCAGAGCTCTGGATGTAAGAATACATCAGAGGGCTTTTGACCCAATCCTCATCGTCTGAATCTTCTATGTCCCCCCAACAGCCGGGGCCAGAACCCAACGGGAATGCATCGTGGGACTCGCGCTCATCGTCCTGCCACAAAATAGACGCACACGAATTGGTACGGCACATGCCTGTTGAGACGGTGGAATGCGCTTCTTCTCTCTGGCCACTGAGTTCCAGGAGTGCGTCGTTGAAGCCAGGCTTAATCTGAATTGTCTGGTGCCCGATTGAGACGAACTGCTCGGCCATCTCGGACCAACAACGAAAATGCGATGTATGGGAGTATATAAGATGGAATCAGTGTTCTGGAAGTCTATAAGATGGAATCAGTGTTTCAATCCGAGTCGTTCGCCTGAACAGCTGCAGACGACGATGACGCTGAGGTTGACGAAGATGAGCATGATGGTGACGATGCGGCAAAGGCGACCTGCATAAGCCTCTCTGCACTGCGCGTGCTCGAACAAATGGCCACCACGTCCTGAACGTGGAGCTGCAGGGAAAGAGCTCTTCCAGCAGGCGGCACACACACACACACACGCACACACATACACACACACACACACACGCACACACACACACGCACACACACACACACACACACGCACGCACACACACACGCAACACACACACACGCACACACACACACACACGCACACACGCACACACGCACACACGCACACGCGCACACGCACACACACACACACATACACACACACACACACACACGCACACACACGCACATGCACACACACACACACACACACGCACACACACACAAACACCCACACACACGAATAATTACCCCGAGCGCCCATGCGCCCGACGCGTCGCCATTCTGCATCTCTTGCGCCCGGTCTACAGCCCCCCTTCCTGGTGAGATGCCTCCCGCGGACACGGTGCCGCCAGGCGCGGCCTGAGGGCAAGCGCCCCTGGGCGCCACGAATCTGGGGTTAGGTCGGGTCTGTCCCCCTACACGGGGAACTTGGCAAAGAAAGAAATACCGCCAAAATGGTTCGAACATTCAAAAATGCTCAAACATGGCAAACAAATCGTCCCCACACTATGTTTTTACTATTCTGGGATATTCCCCCAGTAGAGGGACAGGCCCGACTTAAGGCAAGCGCCCCTGGGCGCCACGAATCTGGGGAGCAATTCGGAGTAAACCTCGCGCACAAAGCCGCTGGCTTGGGTTGTGGATGCCACGGCAATGGACATCCTAATAGTCCTATCATTGAATTTCCGATGTGCTTCAAATGTAGGAAACATGTTCCAAACATGTTTTTTAAGCATGTGGAGCACATGTTTAGGACATGTTTTAGACACCTGGAAATCATTTGGCAACATGCTTCCTCTCCATTGATCGTCCTCCACAGGGCTTGGGCTTCGCCCCGCCACCCCCCCCCCCTGGGCAGGGCGCTCGGAGGCGAGGGCGCGGGCCCCGCGCACCGCTCCGGGGTCCCGCGGGACGACCCTCGACAGGAGGAAGATCCAAAAATAGTCCAGAAAATAGTCGGGGGACGATTCTTTGACTACTCCTGAGCATTTTTGGAGCATGTCGTGAATCGCTTTGGTCTTTCGCCCCAAACCCTCCTGCAATTAGGTGGCAGGCCCGACCGAAGACTTGGCGAGGACCCTCCGTGCGAATTCGCTCGGGGGTCTGCCCGGCTCTCCCCCGGAGAAAGCGCCAGCTGTCAGGAAGGCACGGTCGGGGGCCTCGCTGCCCCCCGGGTGGCGGGGGCGATCTGAGGCCTCCCACGCGGATCCGCCTGTTGGGATTCGCCCTCAGAGGTCCGGCGCAGTCTGTCTCCACTGCGGGGCCATGCGACCCCGGGAAGGCGCGACCCTTCCCCCCAGGGCCAGCATCGCATCCCGAATGTTTCTCGACGGCCCCCGAGGAGGCCGAGAACGACGGAGCACCACGACACCGCGAGTCCGAGATCTTGGGCGCCCGGAATGGGCACAGAAAACATGGGTACAATGCCCAACAACAAAGGTTGTCCCAAACCAACGGCGGCGTCGGCGCGGGGAAAATCGGGCTCCGCATCGAGCCGCATCGCCGGTGCATCGACGATGCGGCGCGACCATCCGACCCCATCTACTCCGACCCCATCTAGGAGGCCTAGTATTTGGACGCCCGAAATGGGCACGGACAAAAATGGGTACAATGCCCAACAGCAAAGGTTGTCCCAAAGCAACGGCGGCCGCTGTTGGGCAGGCGGCCGCTTGTCTCGAATGGGCACTGGCCGCGGCGGCGCGGACAGCGAGTCCGGTTCGAAACGACCAGGACGGCTGTTGGGCATTGTGCCCCTTCTCTCCGTGCCCTGTTTCGTCCGCGCCGAGGTCTTTTGGAGGCGTGAGCCGTATCCTCGCCCAGGACCCGGCTCGCGCGAGAGGGCGGGATGGAGGCAAGCTGCGCTCGCGACGCAGCTCGTGAAGATGGCTTTCCCGGCGCTTCTGGGCGCCAAAGGCGACCAGGGCCAAGATCGGCTGCACGAAGCAGATGCCGTCCCGCCCTTCCTTCCCCTGTCGTTGGCTTCGACACCACAGGCGGGCGCGAACGGAAGCTTCCCCTCCTCGTGCGCTCGGGGTGCGCATGGTTTCGAGTTCCACGGGGACTCCTTCGAATGAAGGGGGAAGGTGGGGTCAATAGAGGAACAACAAATGCATATACGTATATATCCGCCGGCCCCCTTGTGGGGCCACCAGGCTGCGAGGCACGGGTTCGCAGTTTCCAGTACCAGTTGTAGCTTGTAGTTTCCAGTGTTACAGTTCTGCTTGTTGCTGGTTACTGTAACTAGTTGATTGACCGCGCGAGGGGGGGGAAGGCCCAAACAAGACTTTCCAGCGTCCTCTGGGCGCGTTGTCTGAATTACTGGGGGGGCTCGAAATCGCCACCCCTCACGCAGATCCGCGGGGTCAGGGTCCAAAAACACATGGGATTTGCCACATTTCTGAAATTCGGTGCCACCCCTCACGCAGATCCGCGGGGTCAGGGTCCAAAAACACAGGGGATTTGCCACATTTCTGAAATTCGGTGCCACCCCTCACGCAGATCCGCGGGGTCAGGGTCCAAAAACACATGGGATTTGCCACATTTCTGAAATTCGGTGCCACCCCTCACGCAGATCCGCGGGGTCAGGGTCCAAAAACACAGGGATTTGCCACATTTCTGAAATTCGGTGCCACCCCTCACGCAGATCCGCGGGGTCAGGGTCCAAAAACACAGGGGATTTGCCACATTTCTGAAATTCGGTGCCACCCCTCACGCAGATCCGCGGGGTCAGGGTCCAAAAACACAGGGGATTTGCCACATTTCTGAAATTCGGTGCCACCCCTCACGCAGATCCGCGGGGTCAGGGTCCAAAAACACATGGGATTTGCCACATTTCTGAAATTCGGTGCCACCCCTCACGCAGATCCGCGGGGTCAGGGTCCAAAAACACATGGGATTTGCCACATTTCTGAAATTCGGTGCCACCCCTCACGCAGATCCGCGGGGTCAGGGTCCAAAAACACAGGGATTTGCCACATTTCTGAAATTCGGTGCCACCCCTCACGCAGATCCGCGGGGTCAGGGTCCAAAAACACAGGGATTTGCCACATTTCTGAAATTCGGTGCCACCCCTCACGCAGATCCGCGGGGTCAGGGTCCAAAAACACAGGGGATTTGCCACATTTCTGAAATTCGGTGCCACCCCTCACGCACATCCATGGCAAGGCGTGGTAACCCAAACTGCGAGTACTCCCTCGGCCCTTTAATCCCAAGGTGTGGTAACCAAGCTCGTAAACCATACACGTCTTACCGATCGCCCTGTGTGGTAACCCCTGTTGTGATCAGTTGGTTTTGCCGATTGCGAATCGGCCTCGCATGAAGTTCCGATACTGCTGCACGACAGCGCCAAAGCCTCATGACTTAGCTCTTCCATGGCCCATTCTCCGAAAGAGGGGGCTGGCGGCAGGGGGCGAAGCCCTTACGGATATATATATATATATACATATATATATATATATATACATATATATACGGCGTCGGCCTCCGAGAGGGGGTTCGAGGATCTTGCCATCGCTCGGACGTCCACTCCCTGTGCATTCTTCGGTCTCGTGCGTGTTCTTGTTTGCTCGATGGCCTCAGCATGCTCATCCAGGGTCCTCGCCGAGAAATAAATGCACACGTCCGAACGATGCCAGGGTAGATGGGGTCGGAGGATTGTGCCACATCACCAATGCATAGCATATGCATCGGCGATCCATCGGCGATGCATCGGCGACGTCGGAGATGCATCGGCGACCTCAGCGTGGGGAATCACGGGCCCCGCATCGAGCCGCATCGCCGATGCATCGGCGATGCGGCGCGATTCTCCGACCCCATCTAGGAGGCCTAGAATGTCGGCGTCGACGTCTGAGGGTCGGCATCGACGTCGACCCCAGAGGTCCAACGTATTGAAAACATCCAGGCGGAGTTTGTTTCGCAAACTTCGGCCCCTATAGGGGCCCTCGCAAGGGGTCTCGGGACCGTCAAGGTTAACGACTCCAGGACGAGAAACACCGGGCCTCTGGGGAGTGGGCCGAGACTTCTGGGGACCTCGCATGGAACAAATCACAACATCGGATACCATACATGCGGATTTTGAACGAAAAATGACAATATCCTAAAACTGCTCAACATACTCAGAAATACTCAGAAAATAGTGTTCCCATACTATTGTTCAACTATTTTCGAATTTTCCTCCTGCAGAGGGACAGGCCCGACGTAAGGGTCGGCGTCGACGTCGACCGGCATCCGGGGGGGCCTTCGGTGGCACGAGGATTCTGGCCCCGACGGGGGGGCGGAGTTAGGCCCCTCTCTTCTTCTTTGAAGCCAGAATCATTGATTTTACTACGGTTTTGGCCCCTATTTTGGCGTCCTGAGGGGGCCGCGCTCATCTTCCTTCATAGCAAAATCATTGATTTTACAAAGGCTTTGGGCTCATATTGTCCTTTTCAGGGGGCAGCTCTCACTTGCGCTTCTGAGGAGGTCGCAAGAGGCCCCAAGATGGCCCCAAGAGGCCCCCAGGGGGCTCCCAAGAGGCCTCCAAGAGGCCCCCCAGAGGCCCCCAAGCGGCCCCAAGAGGCCCCCAAGAGGCCCCCCCTAGAGGCCCCCAAGAGGCCTCAAGAGGCCCCAAGAGGCCCCCAAGAGGCTCCCCAGAGGCCCCACCAGGACGAGGGGCCCGAACGACTCACACCACGAAGAGCCCGAACGACTCACACCA